TAAATCAGCAATAGTAAATAAACTGTTTTTCTCAGTTCTCTGAGCCACTCTAGCAAATTTTCAAACCCAAGAAGGGATCATGGGATTAGTAGCCCATTAAGACAGAAATTGTGGGTAACCTGGGGTCCTATTACTTGTGAATTGGGTCTGGAATAGGGGGAAATCTTGTGGGATTGGGCCCTTAACCTGTGACATCCGTGCCAACTTCAGTTGGTGTGGAAATGTAATTAAATTGTAGGACATGCAACTGGCATGGGAGTATTGGTTATTGTGGGGGAAAACTACACATCTGATCCCAGTGTTGCGTGTGAGTATAGAGAAAAACTTGTTTCCTTATTTGCCCCACTATTAAAAGAGGTTAGCAAATCCAGGCGTTAGTATGGTTGGTAAATGTCCTAAGAATCTGCTGGAAATAAATGTGCAAGTATTTGGTTGCACACATAACCAAACCATCCAAAACTTTCTAGTTTCAGAATGTATATGCTTCCCTGAGCTGAAAGCACTCATTTGTATTCTGTTTAGAATTAACATTTGGAAGTTTTCGTGAGGAATGTAAATAGTTCTGTTTTGTTTCTAAATAATATCTGGAACTGTGTAGAGACACTTGGATAGCAAGGGGAAAAAAAAAGTAATAGTGACTCTTGGTCTGGGGGAACTTCCTGTGAACACTGTTTTGTTTTGGAAACAATGTGGCACAATGTCTGTCTCAAGGTATGTACAGCATTGGACTGGATATATGCTAAAAGTTAATAAAGTCCATGCGATTACTTCAAATCCTCCTGGATTAAGATATAGTGAATGTAACAAGGAAATGAAGAAATACATCAAATAAGTAATGCTGATTAGTATCTGCTTATATTCTTCATTGCATATATGTGTATTGTTGTGTGTAATGTGATATATGTATATGCAGCGGTATAAGTTTGTGCACATAATTTTTTTGGTCTCAAAAATCAAATCAGAGGGATTCTACGAAGAATAAACTATTAGCTTATCATTGAATAAAGTGTAGTGATTTTATCATTAAATTGATTTGAATTCTTCAGTTTTATTGGTCATATATTTACAAGGGAAAATATGACCAGGTTTTCATGAGAAGCATTTTTATCCTGTATAAGTATGTGGATTAAGCTTAATATTTTTAAGACATACATCTTAATAGAATTGATTTTTAAAATACAGAACTGAAAAGGTCTCTACTCACTATTAATACTCTTCTTTGAACTGTTTTTAAAAACTCAATAAAATAAATGAAATGATCGCATGTAAGATTTGATCCTCTTTGTTTTGACTATCACATTTAATCATGATTACATAGTAGCACCAAAATTAGGACAAATTACAAGAATCACAGGAGAGATCTTAAATTATATGAGCTCATTGCATGCTTTGAAAGGTCTCATTTCAGAGAAAAAAAAAAGGTTTCCAACTGCCAAAACTTTGCTGCATTTTCTCTCCCCCAAAATACACCCCAATTCACTTCAATCTAAACAAAAGATACAATAGACTGATTTTTGAATAGATATGTTATCTACAGTTTATAGGACAGACAGTCCATTTAAATAGAAAAAGTGATTTTACATAAAGCAAGATAGAGTACAAAAGCACAGCTTTTGTAATTTTGGTAATATTGCAATTTTACAAACATGTTGCATAGTATGTGTAAGAAAATAGTTCCATTTTTTATATATCTATACAAGAAAACATTTACATGAAAGTACAAAACAAAATAAACGAATCATGGACCTGATTTAAAGAATTGTATAAATAACAAGACACTCAAACTCCAAATTACATATCTCCATTGTTAACGAATGTCCTTGCCCATCTTTAACCCTGTTTGGCTTTTATTTATAAATATTCGAACAAATCAGATATTAAGACTGAAAAGAAAAAAAGAACCACAGTTCATTATACCTCATTTCCTTTAATGTTTTTCATTGGCTTTCTCAAAGAGCAGACCCATATCAGTTAACACTTAAAAAATAGCCCTCTGATTTTACGAGCATTTCAAATTAATTATATTCTCCAAATAATGTTCAGCAAGCAGTGAAAGTTTAAACTTGGCTAAGTAAATCCATACTGGGCCCATTTTGGAATATGGTCTTTATATATTGGTTTTATGAATACCAAGGAGTTTGTTATGCATGTATAAAATAAATGTAGACCACACTAATGATGTTTCCCTTCTGAAACAAAAGCATTCATTAATTTCTACAGCTCAGAATCCTCCAAGAAGAATGTTTTCTGACTCATGTTATAATTATAAGCCCCCCCATTCATTTGAATAAATTAGTAGGAGCAGCAGAGTTTTAGAGTTAAATACAATAGAACTCCTAGTCTTTGGTCTTTGACATTTAAATAACGAATGCATTGCAGTATAAAACAACATGAATAACAGTGTTCAATTAAGTTATTGATTATGATTGTTGAAAATGAATACAAATGCAATTTTCCTTTACTTTGTGATAATATTTTGCACTGTTCATTACTGTAATATATATACCAGCATATAAAGAAAATAATTTCTCCATATGTCATTAAATATGATCACATGAACAATTCTTATTAGACCACAGCTACTGGAAGAATTTGGTGACAAGATCTCATTCATATAAAACTCAAATATGAATTTGGCTTTGATGGTTTTATAGAAAATTTGGCCACTAAATACTTTCAATGATTTTCATAATTTAACAGTATATTGACATTATTTGCTGTGAAATATAACACTCATATTCATTAGACACTCTCTAGGCTATTGGGGCCTCATACATAGATACCATTTGCAGTGAAATGATATGTTAGGAGTTTTATTGTATCAAATGCCATTTTTTGTAAAATGAGGCATTCTTTAGTTGTCATTCAGACAGAATATGTAGGAATTTTGAATGGAATAACATAAGCAATTCAACAATTAATCTCTGTGATCATACTATCATTTCTTCAAAAGATTAATGCTTTATAGCTTTAAGGAAATAATAGAAAGACCAACAGGATGTTTATATTTGGTTAATATTTCTATTAATTGCCTAAACAGTCATTTTGAATCAAACTCAAATGCATTATTTTCCTTTTTAACATCAACCATATTGTTAAATCCTTTGCACCAAGCATGATTTTTCCAAAGGAACTTTACTGTTCAAATGGTAAGAACAAAAAAGGGAATATAAAAATGAGCATAAGAAGTAGGTTGCTAAAAGGAGTTGTATTTCAACACTTACAAGCAGTTTTTTAAGGTGCAAAAGGAGATTACAAATGCTAGTTCAGATGGCTACTTAACCTAAGATTTATGAGTACTTCCTTAAATAAATCAGAGAAATTTAAAAATCAAAGTGACCAAAGAAAATGTCTAGTTTGATATACGCCCTCACAGATAAATGAACTGTGACTAACATAATTAAATATATATCTTAACTAAGTTCATATGACTAGGTAGGGGCAGACCTAGAACTGGAATTGGTGGCTGCATTTTCTGAGATTTGAAGTACTGTAGATCTAGGGATTCCCAAGTTACAGTAAAATTTGAAGTGCATAAGTGTCTTAAACCCTTAGATAAATAATTATGTGCCAAATTATAAAGAATATCATTTACAATTTAAAAAATTATATATATAGGACTAGTAAGTACTGAATAGAAATTTTGGAAATGTTGAACAAAAGAAGTAGGAAATTTGGAAGTTTTTGTGGTTCTTGCTGTTTCTTTTTGAAGTTTTTTATTGAAATATTCTGAAAAAGAAAAGAATAATGTGTCCTCTTTGCGTCTTTCCTTTCGATCCCCCAAACCTAAACTCAAATAAATCTCAGTTTATGCATTCCTGGCAAAAAACTTAAATGCTAGCAATACTACCAACCTCTTTTTCGTCTCTCCTTTCTTCCTTCCTCTGCCGAACTGAGTATGAAGTTATTCAGATATGGGTAATAAGATAGCTGAGTCATGTCGATGTAGTACACAGTAAAGGACTCATTTTTCTCAGTGTCATTTGGGGAAGCCAATATTTATATCATAAGTAAACTGCATTATATTTATACATGTTGTAACATAAAGATGGTACTGGGAAAACAGATAATGAATCTGTTTGGGTAGTCTGCTATTATGGGACTACTGTATTTTTTTTTTAAGCCTTTTTTTTTTGAATGTGAAAATAGAGGACTTCTGGGGACATTCTTCTAAGCCTTCACTATAGGCTCGATCTCAGGCAGGGCTATTCTTTTAGACTCAGAAATCTGAAGAGTTAGTCAAGTAACTTAAAGCAATTATTTGGTGTTGAATGGGAAAGCCATCTCTATCACTGTTTTTTCTACTAAATTAAACAGATTTTTATATCACATGGATACAGTCTAAATCTTTCAAGCTTGTAAATTACTTTTGAATTGTGTCTATACTTTTCAGAATATATTTGAATTAAAAATTTGATGGCCCCCTGACTGGAATTGGTTTTTACATCTTGTTTTCCCAGTTTTCCATCTTTTCTCCTCTTATGATATATAATTTAAATTTTCAGTTTTCTTTTTTGCCTTCTGTAATATATGTACTTGAAATTAGAACATGTTGGAATAGTAAGGAACCTCAAGACACAATTTATTCAATACTTTTGCTGTAAAGTTGGGTAAACTGAAGCCTGGAGAGATTTCCAAACTGCCTAAAACAGCTCAATTGATGTAGAAGACAGCTGAAATTAGAAACAGGACCAGTTCCTAATCAAAAGAATTATTCCCATTTGAATCAGAAAGTTTCTAATTGTTTCAATAGAAGGATGATTAGAACTTGAATATGCCTCAAATTACTACATAATGTTTCCTTAAAATTCCATAATATAGTGATTAGCACACATAATTTCTCAACATTTCTTGTTATACTTTATTTTGCAAAGACCAGTGTGAGATTTCTTGTATTAAATTCTCTTAATTTTAATATAAATTAAACTCTTGTGTTATGAGATAACTTTGTAAGCAACTGTATAATTATTTCAATATTGATTTAAAGAGATATAACAACATCCAAACACAAGTCAAATTTTATTTTAAAATAACAAATTAGCTTTTGAACCCTTCTGCTGAGTACACTGGAAATGGGCTTTTTGTTATTTGATATGCTAGGTCATACAAACAAGATCATTCTGGTAAAATGTTAATCGCTTTTCAACTTGCCTTGCCAGTACTTCTACTTTCATTAACCACATGTTTTTCAACAAGTTCTAAAATCCCAATTCACTCTGAGCTGTAGAGACCTGAAATCCAAACACTGTACAGCCATTCATTTCCAAAATGTAGTTTCAACATGCTGGTTGGTAGTGTGTATGGGGGAGCAAAAAGTTGATTGCCATGTGAAAATTCAGGACTTACTTTACAGTAACAGTAATTAAGTCATCTTCCCATAATAGGAATACTTACTACAGTTTTACATTCCTTGATTCTATAAGTTTCAAGAATCTGAGTTAAGGGGTATTGTGATAAATGAATCTGTAATATTCTAAAGTTATTAAGAGGACATATATAAAAGTAAGCAGTGGAGAATGAAAATAACTATAATTTTTGATGTCACAGTAGCTTAACAATCTAATAAAAGTAAATATATGTTAAGAGCTGAATAGAAATGTGACTCAGTTCCTGAAGGTATGAATCTAATGTAGTAAACACATTTTCAATATGTTTATTAGCATTTGTCATTTTTACTGTTTAGTCAAGAATCTTTAAGTTAACTTCTAACTTCTTTAAATCTTAACCTACAATAAAAAATAAATAGATAATAATTTTGAAGATGATATCCCAATGGAAGTGAATTTATTCCCATCATTATGCATCAAATTAGTATTATTTATTTGGAGGATGTCTGAATTTTAGCAGTCAGAATCAGTGCAAAGTGAATAGAGCAAACACAAATTATACTATTAAAACCTAGGTGTAAAGGATAGTATGTGAATTTTTAAAAAATGATCTATGCATTTAATACCATCAGCATGTCCTTCTTAATCCTATCTTATATTGCAATCAGTTAGATGTTAAAAGCAAATACATCACATGCAGTAGCCATGTAAATACTACATAAAGCCATCTAGATTTGACAAATGACATTAAAATGGCATTTTGTTAATTCTGTAAAGATTATATTGCTGAGTGCTTTCAAAATCACCTAATGTACAAAATTGTAGACTTCGTAGACAAAGAGTAACAACACACTGAAATTAAAGAAACAAAATGAAAACTCAGGGAGAGATTCTGTATTGTTTTGTTTTGTTAAAAACCATGTATTGAATTTAATTTTTAGTAAAGCAAGCATTACATAATGCTTCAAAATTCTAAAAGTTGGGGATAAAAGTTTACATCCAAAAAGATGAATGGAAAATTGTGCTTTCAGACTGTAGAATAAGTTTTCTTACAGGGTTAACCATTTCATCTTGCCATTGGATACTGGGAATTTCATTTATGTAATGTATATATGTGCAGTTTATATCCAAGTCCTGCAAAAATCTAAAACTGTGTGCTTCACTTCATGTAGCAAAGGCACCTATGTTATTCTCCCTTTTGAGCAAAAGTCATGATCCAGTTTTCCTGCTGATGATGCTTTTTCCACTGCAGTGTCACTCACACTCTGTGTTGAGCAGTACGGTAAATCACAAGGGAAAGTGGTGGAGAATCCCTGCTCACACTGGAAGTTGCTCTGTGGACCATTCAAAGCAGCTCTGGACTGATCACAAGGGAAACCGAGCAGAACTGTGAAGCAGACGGACAGGAACAAAAGGCTATTCTGGTGTGAGGAGAAATCAGTCACTTCAGCTCCACAAGCAGATGTTGCTACTGGACTGACAAGTGGAACCTACTCCTGCTGGAGAAAGGTAAAGTTTGCCATTGGGACAGATGCAGAGTTCATACACTGTCTGTCGAGAACTCGAGGAGCCGGGTGAAGAAGATGGGAAGGAGCCGGTTGGTAGATTTCCCAGCCGGATTGTCTTTGCATTTAAAAATATCTATGAGAAAAAACAAATTGCATTTTAATTCATTTTAGTAATCTGCATTCCTCAGAGCATCCAGTAATCTACATCCCTCTTCAACATGGTCTAATAAGGAAGTCACACAACAAATAATTCGAGGGTTTAGCTGCCATGCTTTGTTGAACAAACAAATTACATTCCTACAATATAGCCCCAAAGCTCTGCAGCTATCTTTTCCGTTGGGAGATGGTACATTCTGACAGAAAGCCTCAATCTGAAAAGCAATAACATACAATCTGCTTATGGGGCCAACCAGTTATTTAAACATGACAGAAAATTAATGATTTTGACAGCCTCTCAATTTAACTTCTTAACCACGCCCAGTGTAAAAAATATGCAAAGAAATAAGGATGTCAATGGAGATGATAATACTGACAGGGGCAATTTAAAAGAAAAAAAAAAACAAAACTCTTGGTCTATTTTTTAATACTCATAAAAGTGTGTGGACTCTTAATCTAAAGGATATACTAAGTAGCTTATATGGTTTGGCTGTGTCCTCCCTCAGACCTCATCTTGAATTGAGGTTCCATAATTCCCATGTGTTGTGGGAAGGACCCAGTGGGAGATAATTAAATTATCGGGGCAGTTTGCCCCATGCTGTTCTTCTGGTAGTGAAAGACTCACACGAGATCTGATGATTTTATAAGGAGAAATGCCTTTCACTTGGTTCTCTCATTCTCTTGCTAGCCACCATGTAAGATGTACCTTTTGGCTTCTGCTTGCCTGACACCATGTAAGATGTACCTTTTGCCTTCTGCCATGATTGTGAGGCCTCTCCAGCTATGTGGAACTGTGAGTCTATTAAGCATCTTTTTCTTTATTAATTACCCAATCTCAAGTATGTCTTTATCAGCAGTATAAAAACAAGCTAATATAGTAGCCAATCAGCACAGTGAACAATAAATAATCATTGTCTGTAATTAGATTTGAAGTCTCCATGAAACATATGACCTATGTTCAATACCTACTTTGCTAAATCTTCTAACTTGGAAACTGCTTTATTCTATATCATGGACTTACAACTTTGAGGGACAGTGATCACATGGTTCTGACATGCATGGGGAATGTTTCAGAAAAGAGAAAAAATGGATTTTGAATTTCAATGATCAAAGAAACAGCTCTCTCTAGCTGTTTCTTGTTTCTATTGTTACATAGCTAATGATCGCCTAAAGGGCATCCTAAATTGACAGGAGTAACAGAATATTCCCTTTTCTCCATCTTTGCCCTCCGTCATCTAAGTTCTATTTGTTTTGTACTAGGACTCCCGTGATGGTCCCTTACCTGGCCTCCTGGCTGCCCATTCTTGTCCTCCTATCGCTGGTTTTACATATTCCTAGAGTGAAATTTTAGGAAATGCAAATCATCTTGCTACAGTGCTCACAATTCTCTGATGTTACCCCCCACACTTCAACTGGATTCTGATGTCTTTCAGTGGCACAAAGTCACTACCTATATGATCTGGCCTGTCTCTCAAACATAATTTCCAGCAATTCTTCCTCTTGCTCCAGTTCTTGCTCTATTTTCTCAAATACAGCAAAAGTACTATAGCCTCACAGCATTTTTACTGTTTCCTCAAACTGAAATACATTTCTTCAGAGGCTCAATGAATGGGGTGAGATATTAACTGGGTGGCTATAAAATGTGAATGAGAGGGAGATTTCCACCTTTTTGATGCTATTTAAATTTCTGAAATATAAGATTCTATTCCATATTACAATTAAGCCAGAAAAGCAATTCATATACCAAAAGGATATGTTTTAGGTTAATTGGGATGCAAAAAAAAAAAAAAAAAAAAAAAAACCTTGCTCCAGTTCTCTCAAAGATCACTGCCTGGGAAATAACTTTTCTAAACACTCTATTAAAATAATATTAATTTTTCTTCTCTCTTTAACAGATATGCTTTTATCTATAGTAAAAATCCCTTTGTAACGTTATGTTACATTTGTAGTCATTCATTGTTGGTTTCTTCTACTTACAATAAGATCTATGAAGATAGGGCCTGTCTTTAGTTCGTCCTGATAGAATAAGGCATAAAATTGTAAAGTGCACGAATTACATGCTGCTCTTTCTTCACCTTGGACACATCTCTCCCGTCTAGGTTACAAACACCCCCTCCATCAGGGTCCAGTTCATCTGTTTTCTCCTCCATATACCTTTCTCTGGTGCTCCAAGATAGAAAAAGTCTTCTTACTTGACTCTCCCATAGCAATTTATTATTTTAAATATCGTATTCTGCTGATCACGTAATATGGCATTTATAGCCATGCTCATATCTTACTTTCCCTGCTAAACTGTATCCTTCTCAAAGATAGAATCATTTTAAATTGTTAGTAATTCCTACCATGTTTAAACCTGCACCTACACCTTCTACATAACACAGTTTCTCAATAAATGAATACATTACAAACAAATGAATGGCTGCATTTATCAGCAGTATTCAGAGTTAAAAAGCATGATTACAGCTTGTGTTTATTGATGTCAAATGTGGAAATATATTACCCTATAGTTACTTCTATGTTAAGTAGCAGGAAAGCAAAGAGAAAAAAATGAATCTATTTTTTAAGATTTGTTTTTTCTGATGTGAAAGCAACATGTGCACAAAACTAAGCAAACAACAAAACCCATGGAAATACATTTTTGGGTATGGATGTTGGGTCTCATTTCTTCTTGTTTTGTGTTACAGACTTGGGGCTCTCTTATTTCTCCTCTGGGGATGACAGATGATTCCTTATATCGATTGAGGAGGAGAGGAAGGGGGCTTGTGTAGTTCAGTGCGTTTTCCTTACAACCTTTCAAGAGCTAGCATGCTTGCAGATGAATGGCATCCTCAAGCTTTGAAAGTGCCAAAAGTAACAGGGGCAACCTCTGAGACTGTGGGGTTTAAGTCTGTAGATTTGGAGTTGAGTTCACCTTGAAGAAATATTAGGAGCTGGTGTTTTGGCTAAGAAACCTTAAGACATACATAATTAAAGAGGGAGATAATGAAAATCTAACAGACATGTGGAGAAGAGGGCTCAAGTGGGATTGATCAGATGACTAACATTTTGTGAACGGTGAATTCATTGTTAAGCACAGAAAGTAAGTAGTGTTGTTTAGCACTGGTGGTTTGCAGGAGCCTACTTATACCATGCCATATCTCTGGCTTTTGAAATTGAACTATAGAATTTGATTGCACACACACTGTATTGCAAGCTGGCTCACCTCTAGATGAATCTAAAACATATATATTCATGGTATATAAACATGGGAATTGGTTGTGTTTCAACTGATGTAGCTTTGAGGGAATAACTGCAGTGAGTAGCCATTTAATACAGGTAAGCTTGCAGGTGACAGCCTTAGAATTCAAGCATGAGGTATGGAGGGCTCATAGCTGGAGTAAACTTTGAAGTACTCAGGCTTTCTGATGAGTAGTTTGCTTCAGCATAGCCATAATGGTGTTCTTTGGCTCTCTCATCCATTTAGGGGCTGCTTTAGATTTTATTTGGCTATATGGCAATGCCTAATTCCCTAAGTTTCTGAGATCCAAACTGTAGCTCCACTCATATGAAAAAAGTCATTTTTATTAATAGATAAATTCATTGATATGGAGTCTTTAGAAAGAGAAAATACTATGTTCTTGGCTTGAGATGGAAGTATAAGTTGTGAGATTAAAGGGGCTGTTATATATTGATTCTTTCCAACATAAAATTCCTGTACCTACCTAGGTTTGTGCTGCATGATTGAACTTGATCATATCTTTCTTTTCTGCCAAGGCAGTGATGCTGTTCACTGTCCAAATTCTAAAATTGATATGCCTCTTCAATATCATCTTATAAACCATATAATCCATTGGTTCGGAAACTCTTCCTTTGATCTCAGAATCACATCCCTGAGCTCTTAATTAACAGTCCACTGTCTTCTCTCTACCAAGAATTCATTTATCCTATTGTCACCTGTTGAAATCTGTCCCATGACTGTCACAAAATATCTTAGTTGAGTTTCAAAACAAAAATTGTTTTTGGCTGGGTGCGGTGGCTTATGCCTGTAATCCCAGCACTTTGAGAGGGCAAGACTGCTGGGTGATCTGAGGTCAGGAGTTTGAGATGAGCCTGCCAACATGGCAAAACCCTGTCTCTACTGAAAGTACCAAAATTAGTTGGGTGTGTTGGTGTATGCCTGTAATCCCAGCTACTTGGGAGGCTGAGGCAAGAGAATAGCTTGAACCCAGGAGGCAGAGGTTGCAGTTAGCCAAGATTGTGCCACTGCACTCCACCCTGGGTGGAAAAGAGTGAGCCTTCATCTCAAAAAAAAAAAAAAGTTTCCTTTTTTTTCTGTGCTCTTGTGGTATATATGTTGTTACTGTATTATATATGCCATTATACCACTTACAGTATTCTACATACAATGATAATTCATGTTGGCTTCCAGACTAAGTTTGAAATTCTTTGCAATACTATGTCTGAAATGACTTTGAATCTTCAACAATGCAGAATTTTACATACAATTTCATTCTACATTTCATCCATTATTTTAGAGACCTCAGTACCATGACTGATCTGATATTAAAACTATCTATCTAAAGATAAGGACTTTATATCCTTCTATACTGTATAGTAAATTATCAACCTGCCTTTCTGTGATAGTCAATGTAGCAAAAAATACATATTTTATGTAAGTATATGTTTCTTCATAGGAAAAAGACAGGTTATTTTATTATTAAGGCTGTGCCTTTCTGTACTTTTACTTTGTTACTATATAAATAAACCACAGATGAAAACCTGTGGCTATGATTTAGTTATAGCATAACACTCATTCGACAATTAAGTGCTAATACGTGATAGAATCAAAGGATTCTGCTGATACAATGAATAAAAGAACATATGTAAGTGATTCAAATATAGGGGCAAAACAGATATTAACATTTATTATGAGTAATACCATGATGAAAGCAACTCTTCAAAGAGAATGTAAGATGTTTAAGGAAGACTTCCATCATG